GTCTGATTTCATTTTCAATTAAAGTGATCGGCTTAATTAACTTTTCTTCCAGTTACTAACAAGGTAAATTTGATAATATTTCAGCCTTATTAAGAGGGTGTCTTTGTTCCTTGTAACTCTTTAGGATATAATTTTATTTTTCCAGGTTACTAAATGTGAATATAATTCTTGCCTTATTGTAGATAAGCAGCCAAGCTCAAGTTGATCAGTCTTTACTGAGGGTCTGATGTGTGTCAGGATAAGGGAGAAAGCAAGAGGAAATACGTGGAAGAACTTGCTGAGTTTGGAGTAGGAAGTTCAGGATGACAAAATCATAAAGTGCTTGAGAGATACAGAAGTTGACGCTATGTAGGGTGGTTGGCAACGGATTGTAGAGGGCTGTGGATGTTACTTCCTGGAGTTCTTATTTTATCTTTAGATGATGGAAAAACAAGTACGAAAATAATCAGAAATATGATTTTAAAAAGTCAGTTTATTGGTAATATATAAGAGAATGTGCCTATCCCCATGTCTCTTCATGCTGAGACATGAATGGTTAAACAACATGTCTGTAATCTATTTACTGACTTTGAGGCAAATGGGCATAGGGGGTGAGCAGGACACATCTGAGGTGGAGAGGGGGAGGGACAGAGTGACTAGGTCTGATCTCCTTATGTACAAACTAATGACAGGCTGCCAAGCAAACTAAATCATCTTTTTTACCACATGTCACCTATCTATGGAATGTTTTTAATGAGATGTACCTGGTTGTCTGGGATTGTTCAGAGTAAAACATACATGGAATCTCCAGTGGAGCTTGGCTCCTTGGAAATGTCACTTAAAGTGTGAAATTATTTTATTATAAAATGAAGCTGTTTTACAACCCAAACATTGCCTTCTATGTAAGTGAGGCAACTACGTAGTTATTCGGAAACCCTGTCTATTAAACTGGGCCACACCATGCTGGGGTGTGTGGTATGCTGGCAGAGAGGACCTGGGTAGCTGTGGTGGGGGCCCCAGAACACTTACTGCTTGTATTCTTGAGGAACTATTGGTAAAAGTTGGTACTGGCTAAAATCTCGATGCCTGTGAATCAATTTTGTAATGTTTTGTACTGTCTCTGGTAATACAAAATACTCATAAATATTCAAAAAAAGAAAGATTTTCAACAGTATTGGAGTTTTACAATCAGAGAAAGAGTTTAATTGATCAAACCAGTCTGTCCTAAGTACTCTCCAGCCTTTCCCTTAGTTCTTTTCCTTTTATAGCTACATAAGGATAGCAGCATATCGAGGTAGGGGTGAGGAAAATAACAAGTACATTTCAAGATGTATGGCCAGCATGTGTTGTACCTGGCAGGGGGAGGGAGCAAGACAGAGATGGAGGGATTCCTATCAGCATTTTAAAGTGGGGGGCAGCTGTCTTTCAGGTGTTGTATCTGTCCAAAGGGAAAATATATCTGTTTCAGGTCAATCTAGGGAACATGATTGTTGGGATGCATCAGACAGATAAATAGATGAATAGATATATAGTCAAGAACAGCCAGGATGTAGGAGAATGTGATATAATGATAGTCAAGAGATGAACATATTGATTCTCTTAAGCAAATAAGTTCCCAGTAATTTTCATAAAGTTAATTTCAGTTGAAATTTTTCATGTATTTGTATGACTCTTTGATTACTATTTGTTTCAACCTCTGGACCCATGTCTTTTTTGTGTACCTAATAAAATGTACGATGAATGCTACACAGTAGAAACTCAATATATATTTGTTGAATGAAAAATGCATTTGTTGAATAAATTATTGGTCAACTTAGTCAAATGCAGTTTAAATGTGAAATAAGATAACAGAAAATGATTCAATGAATTTTGCAGTATGGAGATAGCTGGTGATTCTAACTAGTGGTGAGACTGAAATTCTGCAGTTTCCATATTTAATAAGAGGTGGGTGTGAGGATACTGCATATATAATCAACTTATTTGAGCAGTTTGACTGTGAGCTGGCAGCAAATAAATGGAGGCAACAGATGGGGTCAAGTTAGAACTTAATAAACTAAGAATGATGAGACGAAAGAACAAAATTCTTAATCTTTCCCCCAAACCTTTATCAAACTCTAACATAGTTTTGCCAAGAATACTACAGAAGTTATTTTTTAGTGATCTTTCCATAATTCCTTCTGGAATATGGTCTGACATTTCTGATGGAGTGATTTTGCCACCTTCCTGTGTAAAACCCTCTGATAAGTTCTCATTAACGTTAGGATATATACAGATTTCCTAAACATGCCCATAAAGTTTTGCATCCTCTAATTGCTTCCTACCTCTTAGCTCAGTTTCTCTGATTTTCCTCTTATTTTCCTTGCTCTAGTAAGATTGGCCATTTTTTAGCCTTAGAATATTTTTTCTTTTTTCTTTTTCCTTTCTCTAACTTATTTCTCTTTTCTCTTGGTCGAATTAATATACAGATACTCCCTACGTCAGCTGAAGTCTTCTTCATTAGGGACTTATCCCCTGATTTCTTTGAAGAGCTCTCATTGCATTATTTGGTTATTCTATAGCAGTTAACACACTTATGAGTTAATGTTTACTTGTGTGATTGATTAATGTCTTGGTCTCCCAGCATTCTGGAAGCTCTCTGAGTGGAGAGATTATGTCTCTCTGTGACCACTGTTGTATTTCCTAGCATGGTATATAGCAAAGAATAAGTGCTCAGTAAAGATGTTTTGACTGAATAAATGACCAGCATTCCTTTAAAAGCGGATGAGGGACAGATTCTAAAACACTTGTACAAGAATTGGACTTCCTCAAAAAAAGATTCACCTTGTCAGTTGTAAGAGGAGGAAAGAAAAATATGAAGGTAGATGAAAATTATTGTGTAGCTTTATGGTTGGAAGACAATGACATTCTTGTCTAATGATTTCTCTTAGTATGAGGCAGTCAAATGTACTAAACTCACGGGATGTGGGGAATTTCTGGAGAGAAAGTAACGTATGAAACAATCATCTTATAAAAGGGAAAGGTTTAACTTCCTTGACACCTGAAGTAGGAGTGAAGATATAAACATTCTTCTTACCAGATTAGATGTTCTCTTTTTCAATCTTTTGCCCCCAGCCAGCTTTTCATCTACAGCATTTTAAATGGCTGATTAATCTTAACTTGGTTTCATTCCTGCCTTTCTTCCTTATTGCTTATTTTCAGTATTCTTTCTTTAGATGTCAGGCATTTATGCAACTACCACTGTTTTGTTATATAGCTCTCATATCCCTGATCCCAAATCTAAATTTGGTTTTCTAACTGCTTTGTAGAAGAAACAAGCTTCATGTTTTTGTCAGAAAAGAATCTGTTAAAATAACAGTTCCTTTTCATAAACAGGACTATAATGGGAAAACAAAGTCAAAAAGTCTTAAGGCTTTTTGATTACCAAACGTGGAATTACAGACTAAATTTAGGTAGAGAACAGATAGTAAGTTAATTACCATATTGTTGGTGGGATAGCAAATTCAAGTATGTAAATTTCATTTCCTATTAAGAATGTTTCTAACAAATTCAGTTTTCTATCAGAAAGGTAGTAAGTAAACAAATTTTCCCATAAAAACTTGCAAGAAAAATCGTAGCCAAAAAAAAAAAAACCTATAGGAAATTTAAAAATAAAGCAGAAATAAAAAGAGTAGAATATTACAGGAGAGTTTTTTTTTTTCTTACAGCGAATAGCCCCCAATTCTGTTTCATTATGATGAGATAGAATTTGTATTAGTATAAAGGGGACCCAAACCCCACAAGATGTATGCAGTTTATTTGTTGTGTCTTTATGGTAACTGGTATGTAAATCGTCTCCAGATAACTCCTTTATTTTCTTAACAAAGGATAATGAGTAGTTCAGTAGTTTGTATTTTCAACTGTGCTTATAAAAATAGTCTTTCTTTCTTAATCTTCTTGATTATGAAAAATGTCAAGGTTTCTCATTAAATACTCTCTTGACTTTGGCTTACTGTTTTCAAAAACAATTTTAACTAACTTTGAAAAAAACATTTTGGGACATACACACATAATACATGTGCATTTTTTCTCCCCATAATGACACCATCTTAAAACCCTAAGAATTCCCATTATTTTTGTTTTCTCACTCTTCTCCAACTCTTGTTTCCAAATATATGTTGTGAATTTCTTTTCTGACATTCTGAAAGGTGAACTTCTTTGCATTTCTTTGAAAAGTGTATCTTAAAGGGCATTTCCTCAGCATTATTGATACATGTAAACAAATTCTTATTGTCAGTATTGTTATGAAACCTTGCATAATTTTATTTTCCAAGATTCCTATTACATTACAGCTGCAGAAGATAGTTCTCAATTTTTGTCTTGTTCTGCTCTGTTAGTTTCCTTTCTTTCCCTATGGCATACATCCTCATCTTTCACTGGCTAGGATAAAAGTAGAAATCATATTGTTATATATAATCATTGCTCTGATAGCTACAATAGCCTATTGTAGTTAGGTCTAGAAAAATAGGTATATTCTTGCTGATTTATTTTAATATATAAAACACATGTTTTATTTACTTATGAAATTTGGAAATCACATGCATTGAAAATATCATTGCCTCAGACTTAGTTTCAGGGATATCTTAGAGTTTGCATTATTTCCTTTGAGAAGCATCCAAGAAATGGCATGGCTGGAATATTGTATTTTCTGTGTCAAGTGTTACAGAAACACCTTTATAGCCATGAATTAGCAGATACCCTACAAATAAAACAAGCCTCCTTATGATTCATCACACCTACTTTCATTAAGTTAATGGATTACTAAGGACTTGAATGGTTTTGAGTGCAGAATAGGTACTTCAAAACACTTGTTAGTAACGTAGAAAAACTGTTATTAGCAGCATATATCAATCCAAAGATAACAATTGCTAATGGATACCTTTGCTAATGTGTTTTGGAGGATTTATAATATAGGTTAATACATCCTGGAAAGAATAAATCTTGAATGTACTTCTCTCACACATTATTCTAGATGAAAGAACTAGATTTCCCAATTATGTTCAATCTTAGTCCTAGTCCTAAAGGATGGGAAATCCTGTTTGGTCTAGAATGGCAAATCTTCTTAATCTTACAGGTGAAGTTAAATGATGTACCACAATGGGGAGGGTGTAGCTCAGTGGTAGAGTGCATGCCTAGCATGCACAAGGTCCTGGGTTTAATTCCCAGTACTTTTGTTAAAAAAAAATTGATAAATAAGCCTAATTACTGCCCCCTCTTCAAAAAATTTTAAAAAAATAAGCAAAGTAACTTAAAAAAATGACATGCCATGGATTACAAAAGAAAATTGAAATTCCATGGCAACTTTTTATTGTTATGAATAGATGTCCTCAGTATCTTTTACTAGGTCTCATCTATGAAGGAGACTTACAAAATATTATACACTCACTCTTTATGCATTAATCAGTGTGCATTTATTGGTATCGTTTGGATATGATATTTATATGATGGTAAATAAATGATGTCTTTCTCTGGCAGAGAAGAGTGTACCAGTAATCATTTTCATCTTGTTTCTTGACCTTTCATGTGATGGGGGATGACTAAGGCCTTACTTCTTCATAAGAACAATTACCCATATGCACTTGGAATGCACTTCTGTAAACAGTGCAGTCAGAAACATGCACAGTGAAAAGCAAAATCTTTTAATTGAAGAGAAGTGGGTTAGGAAAAGTCCTTTTCATGTGCCATTTATTGAAGAACCCATTTAAAAATGTCTTAGTGGTTTGGAAGCAATTTATAACACTTGAGGTATGTTGGGCCAATATTTGGAGACTGACCGTTGGTTGCAATTAGATTCACAAGTGCGAAGTTCATGTGGAATCCAAGGGGATGATGAGATAGGTAAGCTAATCTCTGTTTCTAATGTCAAGTATAAGAAATGGATAAACAATATAAAAAAAATTCAATAGTATCCCAATCAGCTATCAGTATTGAATTTGGAATGTCATTCAAGACCTTCCGTGGTTTGGAATCTATTTCCCTTTATACCTTGTCTTTTACAATTCTGATTCATTCCCTCTTGCTTTAACCTAACTGTGCAATCCCAAAATGTGCCCTGTACTTTATATCTCTAATTCTTTTGTTGTTACTTTCCTCTTGAAAAACTTTCCCACATCTCTGCATGGCAGAATGCACCTTCTCCACAATTGGTTCCAAGAAGTCCCAACTTTAAAAATATCAGTTTGCCTTAGGTTAAAATTTGCAAATAGTGTTTTAAAAAATCTTGATTATGTGGACAGTATATTTCCTATTTGTGTTGCACTATCTGATTTGACAGGAGCTTTAATGAAGATGCTACAAATGGAGAAGGATTGGCTTTTGGAATGACAGAGATAATTATCTTGTTTAAACAAACATATGCACAATAACATCACAACTTCTGTGTTGTTGAATGCTTGGTTTGAAGATTAATTTTGTTGTCAAGGCATTACACTTTTTTTGTAATTTAAGACAAGTTAGGTACTGGCTTTTGAATCTGAAGTGTCTGTTGAAATTGTTACGTAGAAATAACCTCTAAATCCACCCCCCAACTTTTTTTTGACAAGTTGATGTTTCTTTGTCCTTTCTTTCTTTATTGTGTTTTAATTGGTTATTTCTTATGACAAAGTAATTTCAGAGATATTTTGTAGTTGTTCCTCATATGCAACAGAATGTTCCAACTGTGGAAACAAATAGATCCAGCCCTTTTAGGATAGAACAGATATTGTGAAACCTCAGTGGTCAAAGACCTGATGACTAACTGTGCCAGTGTTGGAATAATAACTGCTGTAATTTATTAAATCTATTTCAAAATATGTATATGAGTATATACAAAAGTCAACTTTAATTGTATAATGAATACATTAATATGAATGAGTGAAGAGATTATTGGATAAAATCTCAATTTATCTATCCAAAATGTTTACCTTAAAAATGAGACTGGGAATTGTCATTGGGCAAAAGGGAATTGCTGATGTTGGCCAAAGTTCATGTTATATTCAGCAAGACTGCATTCATGGAAAACAACTGAACCATCAATCAAAAATCATGTCAGGATGTGGGATACAGTATAAATTTAGACATACATGAAAATATGAATTGGATGGGAGTAATACATGCCTGAGAAGAAAATATAAGTATCACAGACACACATGCACAGCTCCTCTAGGTTTTCTATAACATAAAAGTGGTTCTCTATATTTTCCTGATCCAGAATAAATGTATAGGAACAATTTTGACCTGTTAATGGTGGATTAAATGTAGGATATAGTTTTCTTACAAAGCATGAAGACAAGAAATAGGCTATTGTTGGTGCTAGTTATCAATTCACTGGGCTGACATCTGTGTGATTATCTTGGCTTTCTTATCATGGTCAGAAGATGGCTTACCACCTCCAATCATCACATTCTCACAGTGTTACCAAAGACAGGAAGCAGGAGAAGAGGTGATCTGAGTAAACTCTCCTTATGTATCTGTTATTTTAATTAAGGAACAAGAGCTTTTCTACACTGCAGAATACTTACCCTACTGTTTCATTGGCCAGAAAAATGATTGGATTGGGTCATCTCTTTCTGCAAATAAGAAGCTGTAAAAATTAGTGTCTGCAAAAAGAGGACAGAATGTTTATGACTGGCTTAAACCAATTATGATTGTCCCTTGGGGCGAATCACTATGCAATCTCAAAAAAAATATATATTACCAAGTAAAAAGCAGCAGAAAATAGCTATTGGACAAAATCTAACACTTTCTATGACAAAATTATAACCAAAAAAACTAGCTATTGTGTACAGTAGCCAAATCTTTGAAAGATTTTATCTTGAATCAATTAATAAACAAAAATATTCATGTCCAGCAAGAACTATAGAATGAATATGATTAGGAGGGCAATGTGATATTCAGATAGCTAAAGATCTCCCAGTAATTTTCTCTTAATTTTTGTTATTTTACTTTTAAATTATCATTTAATTTATTTAAATAAGAACAAAAAACAAAACAAAACAAAAAAATGTACAAAACCAGTTTACTCATTTCTCCCACCCCTATACCCTGACTTTTTACAACTTCCAATCTGTTTTTTGTATCTAATGACCTTGGCTTTGTTTTGTTTTGTTTTTAGATTTCACATATAAGAGATTATACAGTATTTGTCTGACTTACTTCACTTCGCATAATGCTCTTGAGGTTCATCTATGTTGTTGCAAGTGGTACAATTTTCTTCTTTTTATGGCTAGATAATATTCTATTGTGTATATATTAACTGGTTATTGTAATCACAGTTATTTTTACAATTTTTGTCTTTCAACCATCATACTAGCTTTATAAGTAATTAATTATTTATTATGCATTTACTTCTCCAATGAGATTTATTATTTTATATATGTTCTTGTTACCAATTAATGCTCTTTTCTTTTCAGCTTGAAGAAGTCCCCTTAACATTTCTTGTAATGCTGGTTTACTGGTAATGAACTTCTTTAGTTTTTGCTAGTCTGGAAAACTATCTTCAATTCTTGATGTTGAATTTGCCGTGTAGAGTATTCTTTGTTGGGAGTTTTTTCTTTCTTTCTTTTTTTTTCTTTTAGCACTTTGAAAATATCATTCCACTCCACCTGGCCTGCAAAATTCATGTGTAAAAATCTGCTGACAGTGCTATGTGGGTTCTCTTGTATGAAACAAGTTGCTTTTCTCTTGCTGCTCTTAATATTCCTAAGTTTTCAGAAAAAAAAGTTTTTAATTTTTTTTTTTTTTGTATTTAAGTTTGTAAAGGAAAAAACCTGAGATACCTTTGTTGTCATTTGGCTAGACACAAGAGCTTTTATAGGATGACGTTATTTTGATGATACAAGTTTGGGGGCTTGGCAAGCATGTAAGCTGGGTTTCATCAGTCAGTATGGAGATGGTTAGATATTCTTTTTTAATTTACTAGAGACACACTTATACTCCAGGATGCCAAATTATTTCTCTACGATGATACATTTCTTACTTTTTTTTTTTGATAAAAATACAATGTGCATCCTCTGATATAAAAGTTCATTCTTCATATAAATGTAACTGGGCATCTATATTTAACTATAACAATGTTTGGTACAAATTGAATTATGAAGGCAAACAGTTGTGAGTGATACTATTTACAGATCAGGGAAGAGTCTATAATATCTGCCCCTCAGCAGAGCATGTCCCACTAGCAACTAACTGGGTTCTTTGTGTCTCTGGAGATGTATTTTAAAGGGTTTAAATATTGATGCACATGGATTATCAAAGCTTGTATTAGGACTTGCTTTTTCCTTATTCCCATTGCTGATATTTCAGTCTTTCCTTAGCTATGTAATATTATTGACTAAACTAGTTGAATAGTTTGATCCCATTAGTATAGAAGATATTCCTTCTCTTTCATTTTATATTGTACCAATCAGTGTAAATGTTACAGGATAATTTTAATTTTTTTATCTTTATATTCTTGCAGATCAACTTACTTTTTTTACAGACATAGTCACACACATGCACACAGACACACACACACACCTATGGTTGAAGAATGAGAGGCTTGGGGACAATTTAGAGAAAAGATTGAAAATGGGAAAGAAAGGAGAACTCCAGGGCTACAACTAATAAAAAATAAGGAAAATAAGGGCCACTCAGTTAATTCTTGGCCAGAGAAACAATGTGAGCTACATAATGAGAGTGATCATTGAAAGTGAATGGATATAGCTGAAGTTGTAGAGCTCATGCTTAGCATGCATGAAGTCCTGGGTTCAATCCCCAGTACCGCCTTTAAAAATAAATAAATAAACCTAGTTGCTTCCCCATCCCCCAAAAAAACCTTTAAAAAAAAGAAAAAAAAGTGAATGAAGTTTGTGAATAAGAACTAGAGGTAACTTGAGGTTGTGAAGAGAAAACAAACAATAGATTGTATGGCATGAATTAAGTCTTTTTGGCAATGTGGCATTGAAAGAGTTAAATAAGTTCCAATTGCATTTTTCTTTCTATTGGCAGAAAAGAGGTTAAGACATGGGGATAGAAGAC